ACATGGGGGTGGGATGTGACCCCCAGTTGGGGACAGGGGACACAGGGGTGGAATGTGACCCCTCATCTGGACACAGAGGACACTGGGGTGGGTCAAGTCCCCCCATCTGGGAACAGGGGACACAGGGGTGGGTCAAGACCCTCCCAGTTGGGGACAGGGGCCAGCGCCCTTGTCCCCTGTGTCCCCATCTTACCCCTGAGCAGGTGGAAGTGGTCGGGGTAGAGCAGCTTGAAGCCGAAGAGCGTCAGGATGACCTCGACTGAGAAGGACCCGCGGTCCACAAAGTCCCCGTTGAAGATCTTTGGGGGGGGGTGGCTCAGGAAAAGCAGCTCCCCGGGGGGGTCCCCCGATGTCCCCTCCCTCCCTGCCCCCCGTGTCCCCTTCCCCAGCCCCAGGGACCCCCCCCTAAAAAGGGGTGGATACATAAGGGTTGGTCTCGGAGGGCAGCCCGTTGAGCTCGAAGATGTTGAGCAGGTCGTAGAACTGCCCGTGGGTGTCACCACAAACCGTCACCTTCTCCGTCTGGGAGGGGACAAAAAGGGGGGTGGCAGCAGCGTGGGGACACAGGTGACAACCCCCCTGACCCCCCCTAAAGAGAGAGGAGAACCCACCTCCTTCAACGTCGTCTCCACCAAGGTGGGGAGCTTGGCCAGCACCTCCTTCACCTGCACCAGGATCTGTGGGGCAGGGGGGGACACTTGGGGACACTTTGGGGGACAGGGTGGGGACGGGGGCAGGGGGGTGTTTGGGGGGGTGTTCGGGGGGGCCCGGGGGTACCTGGTAGGCACATTTCCTGTGGAGTTTCTTCTGGTCCTTGTACCACTGCATGAGCTCCTTCATGAAGGCCAGGGTGACCTTCCCGTCCTCCAGCTTGGGGCCGCTGTACTCGTCCTCGATGGCTGCGGGGACAGCGGGGACAGTGGCACGGGGGGACGGCAGGGATGTGGCCCCACAGGGCTGGCACGGCACCCCCAGGGCACCCACAGATCCCCAAGGGCACCCACGGCCCACCCAGGGCCACCACAGCCCACCAAGGCACCCACAGCCCCCCAAGGGCCACCACGGCCCACCCAGTGCCACCACAGACACCCCAGGGCCACCACAGTCCCCCCCCCAAGACCCCCAGGAGGACCCTCCTGAGCCCCCTCAAGGCTCTCACGCCCCTCAGCCCCCTCCCAGACCCCCAAGACCCCCAGGAAGACACTCCCAGACCCCCAAGACCTCCCAAACCTTTGCTGGGGACTCTCCCAGACCCCCAAGACCCCCAGGAGGACCCTTCCAGACCCCTGAGACACCTCCAGGAGGACCTTTTCAGACCCCCAAGACCCCCAGGAGGATCCCCTCAGACCCCCAAGACCCCCAGGAAGACCCTCCCAGACCCCCAAGACCTCCCAAACCTTTGCCGGGGACCCTCCCGGCCCCTCCCCAGGAGCCCCCCGGCCCCCCCCAGCTCCCGTGGGGGGTGTTTGTGGGGGTCTCACTCATGCTCTCGATGTCCAGGGAGTCGACCACGGAGCGCTTGGTCTCGTCGCTGGCGATGGCCCTCTCGAAGGCCTTCTGCTTGACGATGCGGTGGCACTCCTGGTACTTGAGCTTGGCGTCCTTGTCGTTGGGCCTCACCTTCACCACCTGCGGGGGGACAGCCCCAGAGGTCGTGGGGACACCCCTCAGGGTATGGGGACACACCCATGGGGCGTGGGGACACCCCTCAGGGCATGGGGACAGCCCCAGAGGTCATGGGGACAACCCTCAGGGGTCATGGGGACACCCAGACACACCCTCAGGGGACGAGGACATCCCCAGAGGTCATGGAGACATCACCAGAGGTCATGGGGACAGGTCCTCAGGGCATGGGGACACCCCTCAGGGCACGGGGACAGCCCCAGAGGTCATGGGGACACCCCTCAGGGCACAGGGACACACCCAGAGGTCATGGGGACAACCCTTAGGGGTCATGGGGACACACCCACGGGGTGTGGGGACACTCCTCAGGGGATGGGGACACTCCTCAGGGCATGGGGACATCACCAGGGGTCATGGGGACAACCCTCAGGGGTCATGGGGACACCCAGACACACCCTCAGGGGACGAGGACATCCCCAGAGGTCATGGAGACACCCCCAGAGGTCATGGAGACATCACCAGAGGTCATGGGGACACCCCTCAGGGCATGGGGACATCCCCAGAGGTCATGGGGACATCCCTCAGGGATCATGGGGACACCTAGACACACCCTCAGGGGTCATGGGGACACCCCTCAGGGCACAGGGACAGGTCCTCAGGGCACGGGGACAACCCTCAGGGGACATGGACATCACCAGGGGTCATGGGGACACTCCTCAGGGGACGAGGACAGGGCCTCAGGGGTCATGGGGACACCCAGACACACCCTCAGGGCACAGGGACACTCCTCAGGGGACATGGGGACACGCCTCAGGGGACATGGGGACACACCCATGGAGCGTGGGGACACTCCTCAGGGGATGGGGACAGGGACTCAGGGCATGGGGACACCCCTCAGGGCACAGGGACAGCCCCAGAGGTCATGGAGACAACCCTCAGGGGTCAGGGGGACACACCCATGGGGCGTGGGGACACACCCAGAGATCATGGGGACACCCCCTCAGGGTACGGGGACAGCCCCAGAGGTCATGGGGACATCCCTCAGGGCACGGGGACACACCCAGAGGTCATGGGGACACCCCTCAGGGCACGGGGACACACCCATGGGGCGTGGGGACACTCCTCAGGGCACGGGGACAGCCCCAGAGGTCGTGGGGACACCCAGACACACCCTCAGGGCACGTGGACACTCCTCAGGGGACATGGGGACACTCCCATGGGGCCATGGGGACACCCGGACACACCCTCAGGGACAGGGATGTCACCAGGGGTCATGGGGACACGGGTCATGGGGACAGGTCCTCAGGGGTCATGGGGACACCCAGATACATCCTCAGGGCACAGAGGACACCCCTCAGGGGACAGGGACACACCTCATGACACAGTCACACCCCTCATGAGACAGGGACACCCCTCAGGAGATGGACACACCCTCAGGGGCCATGAGGACACCCCTCAGGGGACAGGGACACCCTCAGGGGACAGTCACACCCCTCAGGGCACAGAGGACATCCCCAGGGGACAGGGACACCCCTCAGGAGATGGACACAGCCACAGGGGCCATGAGGACACCCCTCAGGGGATGGAGACACCCCTCAGGAGACAGGGACACCCCTCAGGGCACAGTCACACCCCTCATGAGACAGTCACACCCCTCAGGGCACAGGGACACCCCTCATGAGACAGATACACCCTCAGGGGCCATGAGGACACCCCTCAGGAGACAGGGACACCCCTCAGGAGACAGGCACATCTCTCATGAGACGGACACACCCTCATGGGATGGGGACATCCATGGGGACCATGAGGACACCCCTCAGGGCACAATCACACCCTCAGGGCACAGTCACACCCCTCAGGGCACAGAGGACATCCCCAGGGGCCATGAGGACACCCCTCAGGGGACAGGGACACCCCTCAGGGCACAGTCACACCCTCATGACACAGTCACACCCCTCAGGAGACAGGGACACCCCTCAGGAGATGAAGACACCCTTAGGGGCCATGAGGACACCCCTCAGGAGACAGGGACACCCTCAGGGCACAGAGGACACCCCTCAGGGCACAGGGACACCCTCAGAGCACAGGGACACCCTCAGAGCACAGGGACACCCCTCAGGGCACAGTCACACCCTCATGACACAGTCACACCCCTCAGGAGATGAAGACACCCCTTGGGAGATGAAGACACCCCTCAGGAGATGAAGACACCCCTCAGGGCACAGAGGACAACCCCAGGGGCCACGAGGACACCCCTCAGGGGATGGAGACACCCCTCAGGACACAGGGACACCCCTCACACCCTCAGGGCACAGAGGACAACCCCAGGGGCCACGAGGACACCCCTCAGGAGACAGGGACACCTCTCAGGAGTTGAAGACACCCCTCAGGAGACAGGGACACCCCTCAGGAGACAGGGACATGCCCAGGGGTCACGGGGACACCCAGACACACCCTCAGGCCACAGTCACCCCCTCACCTCCCCACCCACCCCTCGCCCCTCTCACCATCTCGTAGTCGCGCAGGGCGGCCTTGAACTTGCCCAGGGCCATGTTGCTGGCGGCGCGCCGGTAGTAGCCCTTGACGTACTTGGCGTCGAGCTGCACGGCGCGCGTGGCGTCGGCCAGGGCGTAGCCGTAGCACTCGGTGCGCAGGTAGGCCAGGCTGCGGTTGCCGTAGTAGATGGCGTTGCCGGGGTTCAGCTCGATGGCGCTGCTGTAGAACTTCACCGCGTTCTCATAGTCCTTCCCTGAGGGGGGGACATCATGAGGGGGCGAGCAGGAGAGATGGTTGGGGGGGTTTCCCTCATAGGCCTTGGCTTCCTTCCTTCCTTCCCTCATAGGCCTTGCCTGAGGCCTGGGGGAGATGCCCCTCATAGGCCTTCCCTGAGGGGGGCATCCAGAGGGTCAGGACCCCCGGTTAGGGGAGATTTCCCTCATAGGTTTTCTCTGGGGGACATCCAGGGGTGTCAGGACACTCAGTTAGGGGGGATTTCCCTCATAGATTTTCTCTGGGAGCATCCAGGGGGGTCAGGACACCGGGTTAGGGGGGATTTCCCTCATAGGCCTTGGCTGGGGGCCTGGGGGAGATCCCCCTCATAGGCCTTCCCTGAGGGGGGAGAATCCGTGGTGGGGAGTGGGACATGAAGTTAGGGGGAGTTTCCCTCACAGATTTTCCCTGGGAGCATCCAGGGGGGTCAGGACACCGGGTTAGGGGGGATTTCCCTCATAGGCCTTGGCTGGGGGCCTGGGGTAGATCCCCCTCATAGGCCTTCCCTGAGGGAGGAGAATCCGCGGCGGGGAGCAGGACACGCAGTTAGGGGAGATTTCCCTCATAGGTTTTCTCTGGGGGGCATCCAGGGGGTCAGGATCCCCCAGTTAGGGGGGATTTCCCTCATAGGCCTTCCCTGCCGGGCACCATGGCAACAGGACCCCCCAGTCAGGGGACTCAGGGGATCCCCCCACACCCAGGGTGTCCATGGGGGTCAGGACCCCCTAGTTAGGGGGGGTTTCCCTCATAGGCCTTGGCTGGAGGGGCACCCAGGGGGGTAAGAGACCCGGTTAGGGGGGGATTTCCCTCATAGATTTTCACTGGGGGCATCCAGGGGGATCA